CATTAAAATCAAAGCTTTACTCTGAGAAGATCCTACTTTCAGTGAAACCGGAGCTGTTCATAGGCACAAGATACAGCTCAGAGCAAAATGGCAAGCTCATCACAGCATTTCCTCCCCTTAGGCAAGACACATGTTCCAGTCCTATTCAGGCAGACCTTTGCAGCGTGGCTTGGTGCCCAAACCACTGGCTTACAGGATACTCTTGTGGAGTTCCTACAATCCTCATAAGTAACTGCATATTCACTGGAATAGGAACATCTTCCGTAAGACAGGGAAATGCTATATACCATTAATGACTAACATCAGTGTCTGATCTGTGATCTACTCTAATCACCTGCCATGGGACCTCACTACATCAAGTCATTGACTCCAGCATTTCTAATTACAGTTAAAACAATTTTCATGAGGGAGAATTCACCAAGTTGTTCTGATAGTTCACTAAGTTTACTGTCCTTTTATCATGACTATATGTTTGACTACACTTCTATTTTGTTCTTTAACTTCAGGCAATGCTATCTATAACACAAGAGGCTCTCGCTCACCCACTTAAGGTGACTGAAATTATACTAGAAAAAAAATCTGAGCCAGCAACCAGGTATCTTGATATGTGGTATTTGTAATGTAAAATATAGTCAGTCCTTAATTTAAAAAAAAAGTGACGACCTGACCCTGTTATTTTCATAAACTTTAAAAATTGCCCATTTCTGAGTGTATTGTTTTCTTGGTGACTAATTCGCACAACCGTGTAATGCTCTGATTCATTCTGCTACACCATTTTCCATCATGGTAAGTTTGCTCTATCACGTTGATCCTATCAGATCCTATCAGCCAGGCTTTTGGGGAAGGGGACTGGGGGTGGGTAGAGGTACCTATCTTTAGCAATACCACCACCACCACATCCTTCTTTGCATTGTTCTAGTGATAGGCTTCAGCTTGACCTCTGAAGAGGTGTTCTTCAACCTCTAGACCAAATTAGAACCAGTGGAGTTTGAAGTTATATGCTTATACGAAGGTATGAAAGTGCAAGGTAAAATAATTAATTCCAAGACTCAGGAGGTCTGGCTCATACCAAGATAATCAGCAAACAGATGGGCATAATATATTGAAGGTACAGAAAGGCACATATAGAAATGTGTATTTTTTCTCTTTAAAATGCGGTTTCTCAAAAAGCACAACAGACTGCAGTCTGGAACAACACAGGACACCAAAAAAAGAAGAGCATCATGTGAAGAGCATAAGAAAGATAAGACAAAGGAGATGGACTAGGAAGAAGCTACCATTGATGCACATGCTAGTAAGGCAAAATTGAGCAGCGACACAAAAGCAGGCAGTCTATCACTGAGCCAGATGTCCTCGGGCTTAATTAGTCATTGCTAATGGTCATGTGGTGGTCCTACTACCAGTTTACTCACCTCTGTCCCTCCTTCTGATTATGGCACTCACCACCATTAGTTAAACATTAGGCAAAGAGGGAGATAAGCATGGATGGGGATACAGCAATGCTGTTACAGTTATTCCAGTCTCTCTTCTAGTCAACTACCCATCTGAGCATGACTTAGGCATAAATGTAAGAGATGAAAACCACAGTCATTAGCACCACCCCTCAATGGAAGGGTAAGCGATAAAGGAGACGTGAAGGATGAAGGAGCTGACAAAATCCAGCTCTCTATCCACACCTTTATTAACTCCCTCAGCAGCAAACAAGCCATCTTCTAGGCTTTAGCTGAAACTACCGTATGCGTTGCTACGCTTTAACAATTCCAAGCTAGCCCCTGTCCTTTGACACAATATCTAAAAATTCGCACTCCAAACAGCAATTGCTGTAGTAATAACAATACTTACATTTCATTATTTAACCTCATGCTATTTGTTCATGAGGATTAGTGCTTAATTAATTAACAACACTTAGCATTTCCACTTAGCACTTTACCTCTTCAAAGCATCATACAGACAATACCTAATTAAGGGCAAAGCTCCACAGACACTTCACATCAGGACTTCCCTTTGACAGCTCTGCATCCAAGCCTTGCTCGCATGGTGTAACACGAATTCAAGTTGAAAGCCCGATTGATTTCATCAGGAACCAGGTAATGCCCCGGTTATCAAGTGATATCTTTGCAACTTCCTTTTCTTTTCCTGTTGCTTCTGGTTGCTTACTGTGCACCCAGGGATCTACTTATTGGCTAATGTGATGGGTGATAATGTGAACCTTGTATTACTGTTATCTACAAAACTTTCATTCTTCCATCAGTGAAAACCTTATTCTCAGTCACCTGGTTGAACTGCCTTTGGATAGAAAATGTGTTAACCACAAAACCAGATTATAAAATGTCAAGCCAGAGTCTTTAAGGGAGACGGTGCTTTCAATCTATCAGTCAAATGCCTGCTATGCCTTTCTCGTAAGCACCCCAGGGTGCTAGACAACGTCAATAGACAATATAAACACAGAGCTTTTATGGTTCACTTTACAATTGGACATTGACTCTGAACCTGTGAAACAGAAAGGAATTGAATTTCATGACCAAAGAGGATAATGTGCACAGGATTAAGTAGACAACACTGGTAGAAGCAGGAAAGCAATACGGTGTTGGATGCTGATAGAGAGATTAAATTTACAAATAAGAAACCAAAGGAATAAAACAATTCTGAGTAAACTCTTATAAACCAGCAGTAGCACTCAACACTTCATATCAATCTGCTGGTTTTTTTCAGAGAATCAAACATGCCGATGGGTTTATTCAAAGCCCACTCATTGACCAGGCCCTGACTATGGGAACTGAACAAAGAAAGCTTGAAATATGTAATAGCTCCAGCCAAGAGCATTATCCAGACAGTATGGAAAGAAACTTCTGCTGGAGTCAAATTGGAAGAAAAAGAAAACATTCGTGACAGTTCAAGCACTTGTGTAATGTCTCAGAGGATGTCTTCCCAGGGCAGTGGCTGGCAGTGCAGCAGCCTGGGACTGCTGCTGCTCAACCCCCCTCCAGAAGAAAGCAAGCGATCCAGTACAGCAAGGCGGCTTCCAGCTCTGAGTGGTGCTGTGGTGTGTCACATGCATGTCACAGCTCACATCAGCTAGGTCAAACAGCTTTCTCAGGAAGCCCCTCTTGCCAGATGAGCCACAGCTTGATAGATATTAGAAATTTAAATGGTTTGGTTCTTTGAAAACTAACTGTATTGAACAGAATCTGACCTAACTGTTTTGGCACCAAATTCTTCCAGAAGGATAACTGTGTACTGCTAACTGCGGTGTCTTTGTGCCCAAAATATGCTGTGTTAGTGTTACTGCTAACTTCTAAATTCCCAGGAGTTTGAAATAAAAAACAGGCCTTATTGTCCCTTAATATAATTTCATTTAAGCTGCAGATGGATAAGCCCCTTATTGCCATATTCAACCTCAAGCTGAGGGTCAGATACTCATCCTAGACTTTTCTGGATGTGTATGTTTGGAATTCAGTACCTGCCTTTCATCCTCCCCCCAGTCCCCACAAATTCTTTTCCCCTTACTCAGCTTCAGCTTAAACCCTTCAATATTCCCTTGCCACCAGTTACCACTCTCCAGGACTCCCTTATTTCAGACACCAAACAGCCTAGCCAGCCCCAACCAGCTAACACCTTGGTTATCCTGCAGCCCTTTCTAATGTTTACCACCGAGGATCCATCCCAGGCCCATTCCAGCCTGCCCACGACCACTATCCAGGACCACTTCTGCACTGGTTAAGGCTGAGTCCACCGATGTATATGGTTACATGTGAATTAGGTAAATGAATTAGGTAATGAATTTCCTAAAATGTAGCGCTCAAGACAAAACCATCAGCTGTAGTCACTGTTGATCAGGAAAAGATACCTGTTAATTAGCACACATGTTGGATCAGGCCACTGACAAATGCATTGTGAAACTACTATGGAGGCTGATTCAAGTTACTGTCTAGGTAACTGTGCTTCTGTTTCCAGCACAAGGCTGTCCCATGAGCCTTTCTGATCACTTTTGTATTTACATTTGCTGTGCATCTGTCCCAGCATCTCCAAGCCCTGATGTCTTGGAGGAACACACGCTGAGATACTTCCTGACCGGGGTCAGCCTCCAGTACTGGATCTCTGATGGGTGCAGCTCAAGATGTGAACAAAACACAGGCATAAAAACGTGGTTAAGACAAAAGCCTGGCACTTGGAAGGCGGTTCTCTACTCTGGTGTATGACAAAAATAACTGTTTAGATGACATGTAATTAGGATTTTACCTCTCATTCTGTTTTACTCAGTCTGTAAGATGGAACAGGTTGGTCTGTTTAGTCTGTCCCACGGCTTTTACTCATGCTGTCATTACCCTATATTCATACAGTTCTGAAGGGTGTTGGGGTTTCAAACCTTCACAGGATTGTGTATTCATTTCTGTTGTTCACAGTGCTTTCCCTGTAAGAGGTCACGGGGACACGTCCATAGAGTAGTCAGCAACAGATCCACAGAGGTCATGAATGTGAGTTCCTCCCTGCTTACAGCCATCAGGGACTAATGTCATTGGGACAATTTACGCTTTTTGGCTATGACAACCTCCTACAGCAATGAATTTCACAAGTGATATTGATTGCATTAAGTCATTCCTGTGCTTCCCCTGTTGCTTCATCAGATGAAAGTGTTCCTGCTGCTGCACCGCCATAGTGCATGGCATTAGCCTGCACAGGGAGTGCCGGATGGATTGTTTGATGACTTGCAGAACAAGACATCTCCTTGCCTAGTGAAATTGCTCAGCGCTAGGGTTAATAATGAAGCACAGGCCAGCTGAAGCTACCTTTAAAGGGCAGGGTGTGCTCCAAGGCGAATATGGTTGACACAGTTACACTAGGTATATATTTTACTTACAGTTTTATCACTAGGTCTATTCTAAGCAGAGTCTTTTAATTAATTGATTCTTAGGACTTGATATAGACAATATTGAAATATTTCTGACAACAGCATTTTTACAAGTAGCGTTACCCATCCCATCCCAGCTCGGATTTCTCACCTTTGTGGTCCACAACTTGACCGTCCAGTCAAATGATGATGTGACAAAGAGATGGGAAAAGTCAATGGGACCCACTGCCATGTGACAATTGATTCCTGTGACGGGTCCTTGATGGCCTTCAAAAATTTCACCAATGCCAGCTTTACTGCAGGAAGAAGAGACATTTGCATTCAGAGAGTGATTTAACATCTGGTGATTTAACATAATTTTTCTTTCCTCTTAGGTTCCTGTTTCCTTTTAAAGTTCCATTAATCTGTAAATCTCTCTCCTTTCAATAAGGCCTTTGCCTGCAGAGGTTTACTGCTGTGGGCACAATTAATGCTGAGGATCCAGCACAGGGAGACTTTCTCTTACTTCTGAAGACTTGCCTTACTCGCTTTTATATACGCTGTCTACTACTGTAGCTTGAAATAACATTTATGTATAATTATAAAATAATTCTAAATTATAATTATACTATAGCTTATGCCTCTGAGTAAGCCATTATCACAAGGAATAACTGTTAAAATAAAAATGCAAATATATTAATGACTTATCATCAGCTATTCTTTTTCTCTTAAATATCTAAAATAACTTTCCACAGCAGTCAATCAAGTCACTAGGAAGCAAATCTTTTTTCACAAAAAGTGAAGGAACTGTTCCTGTGATCAGGTATCATACAGTCATTACTTTGAACAAAGGAAGATGTGCATTTCATCGGCCTGAGGCTAGAATAGCTATTAGGGAGGAAAAATACAACGCTGTGTAAGACAGAATGTGCGCAGTTTTCTTCTTCCTGGAAGCAAATGATGCCAGATCAGTTGTCAGTCCTGTCTCACAGTGCGTACAGAAAGGGGAATCATGAAATTACCCTTTTAGTTACATTATAGAAAAATTGCCAATGGAAGAAAATACATTAAAAATAGCCACAGCTCTGACAAGGCTGCCAGTCTGGAGCCAGTGGGAATACAGCGTATCCAAAGAGATGAGGAGCTGCACTGGAGGAAACTGGTCCCTCATATTGCAAGCATGGTGTCCTCTCACCTCTCCTGTTGACCACGGCAGTGTGGCCTCCCTTAGGCTCCTCTTCCAGCCCTCACAGCACATGCTGGAGCAGGGCTGAGTTCTGCAGTGCCTCTGCAGTGCTGGGTACAAAGCACACCTCTGACTTTATCCCCAGCTGTCTGCCAAGTAGTCGGTGGGATAAGGGTAGTTCTGGAGCACTGAGAACACATTGTGCATTGCTGTGCTTTGACACACCTTTTGCCAGAGTAACATGTGGCTCTCCACTGTACTGGGCTGAAGGATACAGGAGTTGGAAATAAAATGGAGCCAACAGCAAAACGCTCTAGGAAAGACAGGCATGAGTGGAAAAGGAGTGCGTTTGTCAGCAGAAGGTTTGCTAAAAAGGTGGGCTAACAAGAGGATCTGGCACCTTCCTGCTCTTGTGAGGAACAAACCAGGCATGCCTGAAAGATCAGAAGTGAGAAATGCCCTTGGGCATGCGTCATTTATCCTAGCAACCCAAGACTAATTCAAACCATCAGCCATCACACGACCTATCAGTAGAATGCCTAAATAGACACGATTTTGCAATACTGTCAGCCATCTGGCTAAAATAAAAATATTTTAAAATAAAATTTATATTGAACAACATATATGTAAAACAGTATTTATACAAAATTAGGAATGTGTCGTAGAAGTACAATGTTAAACCAGTGTATTGATGTCTATTTTGTCAACAGAAACACAGAACACGCTAAAATATGAATTCAGAGAATATTGCAAACTATTGGAGTGTGGGGGTGAGCTTTAAATCTATCAGTGAAAAAAGTTTGTTCTTTACAAAAGACTTTCAGGCATCCCAGAGGATGAAACTACTACCAGAACAGAGTATGCTAGCATCCTGCAGACTTACAGGGTGCAAAATAAGGACCTTGAAGTATTAAACTACAGCCTGGGTTATGTGAGGAAGGGATATGCCCACTGTGTGGGAGGGAGCACAGGGTACCAGTCGTGGGAGTGGATCAGCCAGAGCTCGCATACCCGTGTGGCACGCTGCGGCTACGTCTGTGTTAGCAAATAAACCAGGTGGCAGTCCAGACTGAGGGCAAACCGTGTGGCATGGCTTCTGGCTGGCTGTACAACAAAACCCTCTCGCCCTCCTGGAGAGGGTGGGCACGTCCAAACTGCCCACAGAGAGCAGGGGCCAGCGGGGCTCAATCTCCAGCCTGGCTGTGCAGACGCAGCCTGCAGCGCTGCGCGGGAAAACCTGGTGCAGGATGGCCGTGCATCGGGACACATTTCTCAGGTGCATGAGTGCCTGTGGTGGCTTTTCTCTGATAATGCCTGTGGAGACTGAAGATGGAGCTGAGGATGGTAAAAAATAAAGTGGATTACCATCTCTTATGAGTGGTTTAGGCCTGATTACCCTGCAGCAAAACTGTCTTCTAGGGCATGATTCAACTTGCCCAGACCTAGATACCTACATCTCAGTTAGCTGTCTAGACCCCTGTCTCACCTCATGGGTGAGAAAGAGCCATTTCTGAAGTCCCAGTCATCTCTTCTTCGGGGACATGTCTGAAAAAGGTAAAAGAAATCAAACCCAAACTACACAGGGAGCCTGGGGCAACTACCCGAGTATAACAGGCTGTAGCAGAGATGCCCAAAGCCTGGCGACTCCTATTCTAGTTGTGCAAAGTAGTACAGACACTGTTGACCCAAGAGAAAAAACATGAAACAGCCTCCACACATACTTGGCTACCTCACACCAATGTAAGTACACAATGTTATTTAAGAACAAAATGCTGAACATCACCTTCCATGACGACACGCTGTGTAGACTGTTCCCTCTTCACTGCCAACGACAAAGTTATTGACGTCTCCGGTTGGGAAAGCCATTCCTGTAACCGCCACTGGTTTGGACTTATTGTACACCAGCTCCATGCTCTCCTACCAAAACAGATCTTCGTTATTATTATTCTGCAGTTGTCCTTTTGTTTGAGTGGGTGGGTTTTATTTTGCCAATTCATTTCTAAGTGTTACACAGGGTAGCAGGAGGGGAAGAACAAATCATTTGACCCAGCCACAGGAATTCTGTTTCTACATAGGACATTGCGAGAAGATGCAATGTCACAAACTAGGATGCACTGCTCCTGCCATCCCTGCTGCTGTCTGTCACACGTTTGAGAGCGGCTGGAAAGCACTGGTCTTTGCTACATCGTCCTAAATCAGGCAGAGATGACAGGTGAGAATTTAAAATCTAATGGTGCAGAAAGTAAAGATAATACCTTAATGGTTACACTTGCCAGCCCCAGGCTCTAATAAAAGATGCAATACCCTTCTATTTGCAAACATTTTTGAAATCAGTTGTTTGTCAGGTAACACGTGCAATACCGTGTGCTCTCGATGCTTTTTTCAGACTGTGCCATTTGTCCTTTGCAGAACAAAATTAAAAACTTGGGGTCCTGCCACTACTGCCATTCTAAGCATTGTTTTTCAGGGATTTTCTGAGGTAACCATAAACATTCCCTCTTGACTCCACCATCAAGCTACAAACCAGCAAGCATATTTTCTTTTTTCATTTGGTAGCTATATTTCAAAGTAAATCAGCATGCCCATTTTTGCTAGTGCAAGTACAACCAGCATGAACAGTTTGTGCCCATTGCAAGATATGTATGCTTTGAACCGATTTTGCTCAAATCTAAACTTTTTGGTTGTGCAGCCTAAATGGTGTAACCCAAGAATCCACAAAGGAGCTGAATGATTTAGCAATTTTCATTTTTAGCTATTTAAGTGGCTATGTTTTCTATGTTTAAAACGCCTAAGCTGCTATTCTTCTAGGGCCAAAGCCTGTCGCGTTTTTCTCAGAAGGGCTTTTTGCTGTAGCTAAAGAAAGTGGACATCCCTGTGAGAGGAGAGGGCTGCAAATCCACAGGGAAATACTTTTGCTTGATTTATACTTTTCTTTGAAATACATTTGGTTATATTAAAAAGGCAAAATAAGAGCTGGAAAATGCATTGGCAGAGCACCTGTGGACCATATATTTCTGTGAAAATCTTCTGGGGTGAGATCATCATTTAGTGTCTCTGTGGAGACACAGCCAGATACTGCGGTGGACTTTCTCCTCCCAGTACCTACACCATGGCTGTATATGAGTGCTCTGCTTCTGTGTTTTCAGAAAGTTTCAGACTGACACACAGCAGCAGCGCTCTACTCCTCCCGATTTAAAGCTATGGCATGTAGCTTGACATCAAGTCCTGTGCCTTTCATTTCTAAATCACCATGAACCATACGCCAAACTTCAGCATAATGTGGGGTGTGCTCCCATCCCTGTCAAAAGCCAATTTTGGAGTTGGGAAATTCCATCCGAGTGATGAAATACTGAAACAGAGATGTTCACAAATCTTTGCTTCAGAATTTAGTATTCCAGTAATTGAATACATAAGGGTGGGATTTATCTTCTTGATGTTTAAGTGAGAAACTAGGGAAGGGATTCGGGTGCCTAAACATAGATGTCTGGGCCCTTTTAGACGCCTCCACTTCTGTTCCAGAAGAGTGTTGGTCTCTCACAGTCCCAGGACAGAACTACCAGACCCATACTGTTGCCTCAGATGAACATGAGCAACATGATCTAACTTTGAAGTTGACCTCACTCTGAGTAGGGCATTAGAGGGGATGACTTCCAGAAGCTTCTTCCATCCTCAAATTTGACAGTTCTATACCTCAGGGTATGTGAAATGGTATTTCACACTGGGATGGGATGCGTTGTCCTCCAGAAGTGCCCAGACTTTCTCTACATTAACTGTAAAGGGAACCCAAATCACTAGCTTAAGCTTGACACGGACCTAACTTTTAGATGGCTAAGGTTAGGATAGAGGAGTCCCACTTCTTGTGTCAACTCTGAAAAGCAAAGAATTCAATAGTAATTGCACATTAATGCATGATTAATGAATGATTAATGGAATCATTTAGAGGAATTTCTACGAGCATTTTGAAACAAGCTCTGATCCTGTGATGCTTAGCAAAAATAATATTTTTTTTCTGAGAAATCGTGTATAAAAAATAAGCGATGCGTTGGAATAGAAAATGTACTACTCCAGAAGATAACACTTCAAAGATGGCTTCCATAGACCTTTTTCAGCATCAGATTCTTTGTTTAGTTTCCATATTATAATCACTAGTGGTTTGGAAAATTTTCCTGGATTTCCTTTCATTTCTGATACAAAGGAGAGGAGGAGGGGGAGTAGAGAGACAATAGCAGCAAACAGTCCGGGGTCGGAATTAGTCCTAAAACTTTTGATTTGCATTGTTTGTTCCTTTAGCTACTGAAGGCAGGCAGCAAAGTAAGCTGCCTGACCGTGTGCCTTGGAAACCCGTGGTGCCTGGGGTGTGTTCAGCAGCAGTGCAATCTAGTCCATATTTGTTAAACAACGCTGTAGAGTAAGTACAATTTATACCACAGGCGACTTCTGTAATTGCCGTGCTTTAAAATGGATTATTTCATTTTCACTTGAAACTGACCTATGTATTAACGTATTACAATAATTACATGATTTGTGGTAAAGGAAATGGGTTTTGGCTCTTAGCAGAGACTGCTGGAAGCAAGCTGTACTCTTTCAAGTGCATCCATTGGTTTTAGTTTGTATAGGACGTGAGGTTTTGGCTTTCAGGAGCTATGTTCCATTAAGCAGGTATCTTGCTCTACCGAAGGTGCTTTTTTTCCTGTATAGGTGAAAACAAACCCACCTGTGGAGTTGAGAGCATGTCCAGACTCCAGGAGCACATTTTGCCATCCGTAGAGACAGTAATGAGATTGTGCGCGTTCTGTGTTCCAACTACATTCACACAATACACAGGATGCTGAAAACACATTAACACTGGAAATCAGAGAGCCATTCTGACATCTTCACAAATTCCTAATGTCTTTTCCTAATGTTATTTTAAAGAATGATTAAGTAGTCACATAATGCCTGGAAACTACAGGACTCAGCTTTTGGCAGATAGAAATTGGGTTTTGTTTTGTTTTGTTTTGTTTTTAATGGAAATTTTAAGAGATACATTATGGAGGTGGAAATGTTTTCAAAGTTTCATTTTCCTCATAATAAAACAAACCAGCTGAGTAATGCTGTGAAAATACTGAATTATGTGGATGAGATTTCACCCACAGGGACATGTATCATTCTACTGATGGCTTTTGACACTGAAAATAACCAGCAGAAAGAGGCAAATAGTCCAAATGGAATCAAAATGAAAACTTTATTCAAGAAAACAGCTGCATAAAACTTGAACTTTTCCAGAATTTGGCTTGCATGCTAAATATTTGCAAATGTACTCCAGTAGAAAAACGTGAACAAGTCCGTCAGCGTTCTCCAGCATTGACAAATGTATACCTTTTTAGATCTGTCATTCTAAGTGTGGAGTGATTAAATTTAGGGTGTTACACCTGGTTCACCATAGTATAGTCATTCCGTGGAAGCTGAATTCCACTTAGTATGCAATAATGAAACTTAGCCTATTCCTTTTCCAAGAAACCTGGTAACATTTTGAGCCTGAACTGTCATCTGATATCTGATGGTGACATATGAGGGATGGTTCACATTCTGCAGTCTCCAGAGTGAAAAATCAGTCAGACTGAACAATAAGATTTAATTTCCTTTGACCAGTACAAGTGATACTGCTGAATTAAGGGTAAGACATATACACAAGTGAAGCAAAGAATAATTGTATTTCTCTGCCTCTTTTGCTGATGAATAGAAAACCCATGTCTCTAGGAAGAAAAAGTGCTTTTCACTAATACTTTCCTTACTTCAAGAAAATCAGGACCAAACTTAAAGAGCCCCCTATAGAGCTCCTAAGCCAACTCCATGTAGGGTTAGAAACCTCGCATTTGCCCCCGCTGAAAGGAATGGCAGAACTACCACTTTTTTTAGACGACATTAAGATCCAGCTGCACGTCATCTACCCAGTCAGCAGGGAAAGGCAGAGCACAGGCTAGCTCTCAGGTTCGATACCTGAGCAAGCTCAGTAAATGCCCCCCCTCAAGTGCAAAAAGGGCAGCATCTGAATGCACAGTGTGTGTGCGCACACACTGAAGAAGGACTCAGCAATTGCTGAGTGGTACTTTGTGCTCGGAGCCCACCTGTACACATCAGTAAGTCCCAAGGTCCATTCTGATGCCAATTTTCTCTTTTTTTCCAAGATTGTCAGACACCTGGTTTCCCCCAGATCATCAATGGACCCCAATCTGTCCCTCACGTGTGTCTCACGCTATTACCCTCATACGATGGACCTTCTTCCTGCTCAGAGGTGAGCTGATGACCACAGTGCTAAATACGATTAGTACATACTGATGTCCGAACTAAGTACAGTCCTATTTTTTGACGGGTGTTTGAACTCCAGTAGTCTAAATGGACAGAAACAGAGGGGGTGGGAGGATGCTAAAGCCAGCAGCGGAGCATCTAGAATATGTGGCGGGGAGGAAAAGAGCGAGCCATGTCGTTCCAGCAGCACCTCAGTGTGCCAGGTCTGGCTTTAATCAGAGTTACCAGCCATCAATTTCACGCACAATAAAACTCACGGCCGAAATGAAAAAAAAAAAACAAAAACGTAAGGAAAATGGATGAAAAAGACATCCAAATGTATGTAACAGAAAGTCTAAACAGGCTCCTTCCTTTCAAAGGGTCGCTGCCAGCTTGCTTTTATTTATTTTGGAAATGAAATCATCATGCAAAAGGGTTTTGTCGTAATTAAAATTTCCTGTTGTCCCAAGTGCAGATGTGTGGTGGGTGTGAAAGGAAATTAGTGAGTAAGCTGTGGGTAGAATTCTCTTTCCTGGTGAATCCAGGCCGCAATCAGTGATACTAAACTTCAGGAAGGTTTAAGTCAGTGATAACAACACACTATCTGTTTCAAATAAACAAAGCAAGAGAAAGAAAAATCCTTTTTTCACATATGGCATAAGTTCAAATTAAAAAATGACTATTCAACTCACGTATCTAGCAGTACATAAAGTAACATTGCTACACTGGAGTTTTTTTAATTGAATCCTTTTTTTTCCCCCTAGGCAGCTAGGATTCAAGCCAGCCTTTTGCCAACAAGACTTCGTTTACAGTTTATGTAAGTGATTCCTATATATGAACATAAAGTAAGCACTCTTTGATTGTAAAATCTGATCATTCCTTAAAAACATCATGCTTCCTCATGTTAAGAGTGTGTAAACACTTATTTATACCAGTCCGTGACAGCACATAAAGTGCCCATCCACAACTGAAAGTCATTTATTTATATTTGTCAAAAGCAAAACATCACATATTTTTCTATTACAGTAATAAAACTAGTTTAATATATAATTCCAGGAGGTACAATTTTGTCTTAAACGTTTTTTGAGTGTAAACAAATTACTTCCCATTAATCTTTTCTTTTCCACTAGGTTTTGAGTCCCAGTTGTTCAATTTTCAGTGATAGTCAGCTTCTTGCCACTAGTTTTCTGGTCTGCTACATCTCTAAATTACACTTCCAGGAGAGACTGTTTTTTTCATGCAGATTGAACAACATTGCTGGTGACAAAATGAGGAAAAACACTAGGGAAATGAAAAGCAATGTTGAAGTTGGAACCTATGGCACGGATCATTAGATTATTACATCAGCATTCCTGATAGTGGAAATTTAGGGAACAATATTTGTACTGCCTGGCCCACTAAGCATGTCTGTGCACACCTGTCATTTTTTAATATAAGAGACTTGCCATCGTAATACTGGCCCCACGCTGAATCTTTTGCATTAATTCAGGTGGCATGGCTTCTCGAGTTGTCTTTTAACTCCAGAGATTATGTTGTCACAGTCTACTAAAAGCTGAACCTTGATCTGCAAATTCCAAAGATAAGAATCACAGAATTGTAAAAGCTGGAGGTGCAAAAGACCTATCACTTTGTCTGATCCTTGCTCTGCTATAACAAGATTATTATCTTATCTCTCAGAGTGCTTTGTGTAGTTCAGTTTCTTATGTTTCAGGAAATCTGCATTTTTCTGCATTCTTATATCATACTATTGCATTCTTCTCCTCCTTTCAACCTGCATTTTTTTTTTCCGCTTCCCACTCAGGGATGGTCCCAAGCCCACTCCCCAAATGAGATATGTTTACCATCCGCAGAGTACACCTTCTAGCTCTTATGAAGAGACTGCCTGAGCCCAGGCTCTGGGACACCTCAAAAGACACAACATCTTAGTGCAGGATGGACTGGAAATCAGCGCCACAGCAGGGTGAGGACACTGTAGCAGGCAACCCAGGCTCATCTCTTCTTCTAGCACAATATGAGTACTTTGCAATGTAAGAGAGTTTTCTACCACAGACATCATCTTTGTATCACAGAGAAACTCTCTTCCTTCTCAGGCATTTTGTGCTACTGCTCTGCCTGTAGATCTCCCAGACATCACCAGAGCCCTGTGCCACCATCACTATATCTGCAAGTATCTGTGTGCATCAGCAAAATGCTCTTCCACGTCATTCTATTGAACCAAACTTCCCCTCACTGTGCAAGCTCTGCCCTATGGCCTTGTCAGGAGTAGGGGACCATGACAGGCATTTATGTATTGCTCTACTGGAAAACAGAAGCAAACTGCCCCACTCTCTTCAAGGGCACCAGTGTCTACTTACAGACGCTACTGAGACCACCGTAGGTGCCTAATCTGGTTCAAAAGAGAAACTCATGTACAGCAAGACAACCATAAGTGATTCAAATTGCGTGCTATGCTGGACTGACAAACACACAATCCCTGTAGTGACCTGATTCTCTTTACAGGCAATGGAGAGCAAGAGTCACAGTGCCACTGTGCTGGCACAAAGGTGCCTCATTCAGGTGGTGTAATTGATCCTGCCCTCTTCCTTGGAAAGGAGGATAATGTCCTATCCTGACCCTACAAAGTGTGATGGTTAAGCACTTAACAGGAGGTGGTTGTACATCTCTCATCTATTTCTTTCCCTTCAAGGGCCACACTTATGTTTTCACCTGTGTGGCAACCAGCATATTAAAGACAACTAGACAGGCCGACTTCCCCACTGACCCTTTCCTCTAATGAAAGAAGGAGATGATTTTTACCCTTACCGTGTGAGCAGCAGCAGATAAGGGAGTTCTCTGAACTGGAGTGCGCCTGTGACTGCGATTATCCCACAAGACAATTTGGCCAGAGTATGTTCCACCAACGACCAGGTTTGGGTGAAAGCGGGCAAAACAGACAGACATCACGGAGGACTGGAGTAAAACAAGCAGAGAAGAAGAGAGGGTTTACATGGTCAGTCATCTTCAATTCTTTCCTTAAGGAAGCATATTGTAATTAGCATTTTGTATTTTAGAAGCTCACTGTATGAGCTCTATTCATACTCCTTGCACACCAGTAATTCTGCTAAAGCCAATAGGACACATGCAAAGAGCTGATTTTGACCCTAAAATGTGTAGTTCCATTGGACCCAGGAAAAATATGCACCACAGGATAAGTCTTAGCATGATGCTAAAAACCTGAGATAATCTGTCTGTGACAGTGATGGGAAAATGCTTAATTTCATTTCCAAAAGTGAGAACTTGAAGTAACCAGATACCAACCCAACAGAAGTTGGCATCCTGGCCCATGATTTCCCATCAGGGAGAGTTCTTCCCCTGTTGCTCCTCAAGTTTTTAACTCTCAGACAATTTGAGGTGAGTTTGTGAGACCCTCTGCAGTTCACCTGAAGGTGCACTGCCTTGAGAGCATTGGCTGACAAGCTACATCTCGTTGGATCAATGACTGATTTCTCTGATTTCTCTGCTATAGGGAGGTCCTCTTTCTTCTAATAGCAGAGGGAATCACACTTTCCCTTACAGTGTTTGAGCAGAAATTAGTTTTTCCTCTTCTTAATGACATCTGAGTTGTCTTTGTGCATTTTCTTTAGCTGGGGATGCTGAGGAGCCAGACTGGTGTAATGGTTACCCTGGCTATCTGGTTGAGTGCCCCACAAGCCAACATGGAGATGTGTATCTATCACAACTACCACCTTCTAGTCTCTTTAAAATGACATACAACATCTGAAATCCTTGGGGGAACAGTCCCCAGAACCTTCATATGCCAACAAGTTACAGCTAAGAGCAACAAGCTGTAACTCCTTCAACTCCTCCATCCTCTTTCTAAGGAATTTTTTGCCATTTTTCTATAATTAGTCCTGGATGTTCTGTCTTTGTTTTATGCAAATTGGAAAGCAAAAGTTACGGCATTCATATAATTTCCTGAGAATTCACATACTAATAATGAAAGTTTGCAAACAGAAACAAATGTCATTTTTTCATGGGCAGTGTTAGTGATGTTTACAAGCCACAGAGCAAGACTTGAACTGCTGCAGCAATTACAGTCAGAAAGTAAAATTCAGTGTTAGCGGTTGCATTCTTAAAAATTCATTTTCTAGCTGTTTCCAATGAGTTTTGGTAACAAATACTTATTATAGTTTAATGACTGAATATTTTGAAGTGGTGATGTTCCCATGTGTGAATCCATTTTACTCAATGACAATGGGTTAACTAAATTACCATATTTCAGTTGTATAAAAAGCATTGCAGACATTTAAGTAAACTTTGTTGAATTGGGAACATAGGAGCTGCCAAGCTGAAGTAGACCTAATGTCTATGTAGCAGATGACCCTGTCTCTGGCAGGAGTGGATGGAGTTGTAAAAACTTTGATGTGGGCAGATGTGTTATCTTCTTTCCTTACTGCTCGTCATCCTGACTTCTAGTAGCTGGAGACTGGTTTGAACTCTAACACCAGAGATTTAAACCTCCTTCTGATATGGCTAGAATTAATTATTGATGTCTAGAGGGCTAGCTCTTGATGTCTATGACTAGGCTAGTAAGAATAAATCAACATGTAACGTTTAAATATTTTTTAGTGAAATCATGTGGCTTCCTGATATCTATTGTTTAAAGCCAGATTATATGATAGATTAATTTAGTAAACATATTTATAGCATACATCAGTAAATTCAATACTGTTTGTTTGACCTAATAAGATTGCCAAGACAATGAAATAAGGTGCCACTACCTTCTTTTTTCCCCATTCTCTCTGGATTCTTGTGGCTGTTCACTTGACATCTTTGATCCTTTCCCTTCTTGACTAAAGCTTTTGCATACGTTTCTCTGATGTTATATAGTAGTATCTAGTAGTAGTGTCTAGTATCTAATGACTAGATGATTAGTATACATAATTGGATATTTTAGTCCATATTTATTTAAGCGCTTGAGATAGCGATTACCCTATGATCAGTCGTAGCAACAAAAGGTAGCTTCCAAACACCATTTCCAAAGGACCTATTAGCTTTACAGATAAGAAACCCCACCTCTGAGTAACAGGACTTCGGTACTGCTAAGAGGGGCTTAAAACTCAGCTACAATGCAGCTGCCATCCGGTTTCCACAGATCCCCCATACATTATAATTAAAACGACCCTACAGCACATGTTCTACATTTTATCTCTTTGTTTAATGGCTTCGTGAGTTGTTTTAATCAGCCCCTCTCATTCCTTATAACTAAGCTGACAGATATTCTTACACGAACTGAAATAGCCAGATGATTTTAAAATAGTACAGCTCCACCACTGTGTACACCCCACAGCAGCTACAAGGCTCCACATGTATTTTAAGAAACCCCAATTCAAACAGTCATTCCACAACAAAGTTCTCAGTTTGTCCGAAAGAAACTTGGGAGACTCTGAAGCAGGGCAAAGAAGCCAAGTGGACAGTGTATTTTTAAATGTTGTGTTTTCATGGTTAGCATGTTTTTGAATCCAGAATCCCAGAATACAGTTGAATGGTCAGGATATAAACTGCTAAAGTGTGTTTTTCATAAAGTTCAAAAATAACCTACAGACATGACATGGACCTAAGCCCTCTGCGCTGCTTCTAGTTTTACGTATCGCTCCAAAGTAACATGCATTCTTCAACAGTTCACATCCTTTTAATTATGTCAATGTTATTTTTCTACCAAGGAAAAACTTCTGTCAAATATTAGAATTTAACAATTTAAGGACTCCGCTCCATAGCACTTAATATAGTGATTATTTTCTTAAAGTTAATGGCAGTACTCAGATGAGTAAGGGCTGTAAGATCCAGCCCATTCATTTAACAACTTTAAAAGCATTAATTTCTTAGCCTTAATGGGAGAGAGCAGCAGACAGGTCTCCAGTCTGTCTGAACAGCTCTGTGCTCAAGGAGAGCAGCAGAAACCATTCCCTGTGAGCCTCTTCTGCCTCCAGGCTGCCTCTTGTTTGCCGATTCAAGCAGCCTTGCTCCTCTAAAACAGAGTTTTGCCACTGACTTCAAAGGGGGAGGAACCGGTACATGGTCAGGTTTTAAAATAACAGCGTATCCCTCTTTGCACTTCTACCACACCTTTCTAGGGAAATCTCACGGCACTTTCCAGTAACGATGGTAAAGCTTTCCAGTTTTGCAGTTAGGCATATTTTATATGTTGTAGGTGCTTAGTTACCCATTGCAGAGGACAGAAGCAGCTAGTTTTGTAGTATATGGCATCAGTGCATAAAGAAATGTAAGAAAGACCATGTCAGAAGGCAATTCCACAGGGAGTTTAGCGTCCAGAGTACAAAAGAGGCATTTAGAATAGGAGGTTCCCAGCATTATCTTTTTATGGGTGCCACAGAGCAGGTTGTCAGGAGCCGTAAGGGACAGGCAAACCCCAGTGTTTGATCACCTTCATTTCTCTGAATTGCTCTGTGCAGCAAATCATTTCACTAGTCACTTTAGCTTAATGCTCTGGTGTCTTCTCCCTCTGTGCTAATACAGTCTACTGGATTTAGCTTCCTCTGTCTCTCCTTAGTTTTCTCTGAGAAAAGCTCAAGCATTTCTGGTACTTCTGGCTTTGTGATCTTCCACCCCGATTTTCTGCTCCTGCATCTTGGCCAAGGGCTCTCTGCTGGTGCCGCTGCCTCATCCCCCGCTGCGTTCTCTGCCTGTCTGCAGGGGTGACCACCTCTCAAAGGGCCCTCAGACCAGCACACGACCCTCAATTCGCTCCAGGTGGGATCACAGCCTGGGAAAAAGGAAGAGCCAGGCTCGGGCTGCCAAACCTGACATTTTTTTTGTCGGGCAAACAGGTGATCCCGCTGCCCGAATGGCAAAGCTTCTGCTCCTGGCTGTTACAAGCACTGCGCTGAAAAACGCAATTAAGAAACAAGGCATGAAATGTCCGTGCTCTTGTCATGGCAAAGCAGAGGGCTGGCCTCGGAAACGTGGGTATTGTCCAGCCCCTGGGGAGCCTTGCTGTGGCGGGGCCGAGGGCAGCAGCCCCCGGCCCCCTGTTTTGGGAGCTGTTGGCCCGTCTCAGCCCGCACGGGGGGTGACTGCTGGGCCGCCGCTGCCGCCTCCTCCCTCCCCGCTGGTGCACTCTGCTCCGACAGGCCCCGAGCCCTCTTCAAGTGGCTGGCAGAGCTGGTTTTTATTTTAGAAGCTTAATCCAGCCCAGATTTGGATTAATGATGGCATATCCCTTCAACCACAGATGCACATGCTTGGGACAGACAGTCATTTAGATTCTCCTTGCTGAGAAGCCTGACCTCAGTACCCACATCTGATGTGTGTAAGGCTCCGGAGACTCAGCTGTCTGTGCTCATGTCCGTAGATTCGGATGGCACTCTGCCCAGCCACCAGTTGAACAAGTTCACAAAGACCTGGGTGCTAAACAATAATGACTTTCAATAGGCAACGACTACTGCATTCAGCGAGACCTCTTCTGCAGGAAACCACCCCCGTAGGCAGCGCTGCCATACTGGTGCCATATGCCTACACTTGACACCAGATGGATCTCAAAACAATACTTCATCAGTGGGAAGAAGTGATCTGAGGAGTTCACAGGCATTTCTAGACTCCAAAATACCAGGTTAGATTGCAGCAGGCACTCAGGAAACTCCTGGGTAGATTTTCTAGCTGAGCAAACACATGTGAAAAAGCACTATGGTCTGTGGCACGCTACTATAGGTCAGTCTAACACAGACAACAGTGGGCAATAAAATTGACTGCAGCTGAGATGAAGAGGCAGATCCTTTTCCATGCTTGAGGCTTAGAGGGCCTGAGAGCAGAGGGACAAAGCTGTGGTACTGCCGCTTACCTAGAACCACGAAAAGGTGCCAAACCCATAGTCCTTTTTCCGTAGGAACTGAAGAATAGGGACTGGCCCTCTGATCACCTGTGCCTGCCCTCCTGAGGAATAAATAAATAAA